AGCAACAACTGCATCAGCAACGGGAGCATACTCGCCGACTGGAGGTGCTGTCCTCGCGAGTGCCGGACATGAGTAAGCCTGGCGCCTCGGAAGTGACGGCCAGGGTGCTCGATGCGACCGATTTCTGCCCCATCACCCATTAAATAAAGCCGAGAAACAAATAAAGCAGCCCCAGGAGACCGAGGACTGCCCTAATCCCAGCTCTAGGCATCGGACTATGAGGATAAAGTTCGTTCGGCAATTAGCCCCGTAGGATAATGGCCGGAGCAGTGAAGAACGAAGCCGCCTCCGGGTCCTGCCAGAGGATGAGCGCGATGGAGCGCGAGTGTCTGGTCGAGCGACGCAGGACGGCAAAGCTCGTCGAGTGCTCGGAGATGCTGAGACGCGACGGCACCCAAAGATACTCCAAGGAGACCTTCAAGACCCTCTTTCACAACGAGGTATGTTTGGCCGACTAATCGGCGAGCCCCTTTTCCGCCTGTCACGGGGATCTCTCGTCTCAGGGCCCAGCAGACGTTGCCGATCGCAGATGGACTTTGGCGATTCGGGAAGGAGCGTTGCTGGAAGGAGCATTCGCGAATCGAGAATTCCGAGTACTTGCAGTCTGCGTTTGCACGTATTGTAACGTTGTCATAAGCGCTCCATGTGAATTATCAAAATGCCGGCGACATTTTAAAAAGTAGCCCTTGCTGAATGGGCCCTCGGTCACCGCTGACTCGTCGTCGATTCGCTTTTTCTTAACATAATAGCGACGGCATCCAAATACGATTATGACTACACTTTGAGACTTTGTGTCGTTTATGAAAATTACCGACTCGATCATCGATCTATAAAATACTCGATCGTTCGATCGAACTCAATAACGCGTATTAATAGGTAAGGTTTCTTTATACGCCAAATGCACATCAAAGAGTTATTTCGATCCCCGAATCGGGGAAAGGGGTGCATTAGTTCATCGTTGTGTATGGGATTTAAACGGTGGTGGAAAGAGGGAATGAACTGGCAACGGCGCAGCACTATTACACTATTATCGGTAGATAAACGAGCAATTATCTCTGCCAATGCGACATCTCGGTACCATACATTACGATATAACATTTTTCGCTCTGCGTCGTTAGTATGAGCGTTGGATAAATGTATCATGAACGTTAGCTAGCTACATTTGGCAAACGATAATCGCCAAATAAATGAAAGTGACATTGCTTCATTAACCGGACCTATTTATGGCTGATTTCCCCATCTGATAAAATTAACAAATTGAAAGCATAATAATCCGTGCTTCCGTTTAACAATCTTAATGCATCGATAAACATTATGGATTCTTGAGAAAGGAGGAAATCTAACAATACTATTATGGATCTATAAATTATCCTAATTAATAACTAGTAATGAAATTCTTTACAGTCCAGTCGTCTATAAGCATATAAATATATTAATTAAACTAACTCGAGCTTAACCTTTAATGCAAAATACTTTATTTACCTAAGACTTTTTAATTTTCCATAATTGCAATTATATTATAAAAAGTTATTTCTTCTATTAATTGGATATTTGTAGAGTTGATATAAAGAGTTGGATTTTGATTTTATGCAGAACATATTTTGTATAAAATTATTAATGAATCCGATCAGTGACAAATTATTATGAAAATAATATCTCGGTTTATTAAAATCCTAATAAAAATACAAAATAAAAAAAAAAAAAAAAAGAAAAGGATGACGTATTGTTTAATAATACATTGCTTAATATTTCATTGTTTACTTATAGTATATAATCTTTACTAATTCAACATTACAAATTTTAATATTATGCTCTAATCAGTATATTTTTCTATTACAATTTTCGCCACAATTTTCCATAAAAATTTTTTTAAATATTATTAAATTTATTAAATTCAACTGTGCAATATGATGTATACATACGAAAAAATTAAAAAGAAAAAACTCTTCGTAGAAATTAAAAAGGAGCAACTAATTTTATAAAAAATTTTTTTAATATATAATAATAAATATCTCTTTATAGACGTTATTAAATAGATCGAACAGAGAACAATTCCATAATGATTAAATTGAATAATTAAATTATTTAATAACTTACGAATTTTTTTATTTCGTTTGAAATATTTGATTTCTTACCATCAAACGTAACAATTTTTGTTCTATTTTCTCCGCGAGTTTTAAAAAAATCACGTTTCTTATACAAATTCTTTTTTTGTTTTTTATTTATTTATTTTTTTCTTTATTTTTTGAAATAGTATTAATGTATTTATATATATATATATATATATAAAAAAAAAACAAAAAAAAAAAAAACAAAAAAAAAAACGCACGAATCAAGTTATTTATTTCATAATGCCACAATTAAGTAATTATAAAGTCAAGTTAAAGTCCGTAAATAAAATTGTCGGTATATTAACAAAAATTAACTGTATCATAAAATATATTTAAAATATAAAATAATAATTTTACTCAGTTTTAACAGCTTTAGACTTAATGGTTACACTATTTTTTTTATTAAGATTTAAATATTTATATTAAGATCAGAATTGCATTATTATATATTAGAAAATAATAAAAAAAAATAGAACTTCGGTTTCAATTAAAACATTATGATTGTTCTATGGTGTGATATCGAGAGCAATTTGCGCATTAATTATAAAGTATTAACAAACGTGGCACGAGGCTCCGTCATTCTCTTATTGTTATTCAGAAATAATCGTTATTATAGCCAATACTGAAAATCCAAATAATCAAAGCAACTTTCTCTGCCATTCAAAATATTCGTGTAAATAGTCGGTAATAAATGAATGACACGGAGGCGTGGAGAAACGCAAAATAGAAAGGTCTGCAACTCTTTGAAATATCCCCTTAATCCAAGGACACGCGTACGCGTAACTCTAAGCAATCATATAATAATTCATCCGAGTCATTACTGGTCTATGAAGCCCCTTGGAACTACTAACCCAAGGCCCTAATAGTCGCTTAACCGAAGATAATAGTTACCATAAAGAAATGTGATTTCGTTACTTCCCACGCGGCCACTGGCATCGAGAGCACATTATTTGCGAAAGCAGAACGAGAAATCGCGAAATCTTTTGATTTCTGCTTGCCCTTGTTATGCACTCTTTTGTCTTGGCGGTACAGCCTCGTGACGAGTTAAATATGTCAATTAACCGTGAAATGATGTTCGGCAATTTGCCAAATCATTTTATTGCGTTTAAAAAACTCTTTGGAGAGGCCAGGTGGTTGGAAAGCAAATCTATATAAATAATTAGGAATATACTTGTGGTGGCCTTGGGCGTCGATTAACTGTCGGTGTCCATTTTAATTATCAATGTCGGTGTCAATTTTATTTATTCTTCGCATATTTATACTTTCACCCTAGTTTCAATATCGAAATTTTATTGATTATTAGAACTTTATGATAAGCCGCATAAGCTATCTATTATAAAATCTATTAAATCCAAAGTTAATTACACTAGCGCATTCTTATTTAATTATTTATGTCATGTTTAAATCGATATTGTATTGTAAATGTACAATGTTTACATTGATTAGAAGTAAAATGTATTTGAAATACAGCATAATTGACTGCTCTACAAGAGAAATAATAATTCTTATACTCGCAATTGTTAATGAATTTTCAGAAGTAATAAGAAATTGGTAATATTTATTAGAAGATTTTTCCGCATAATATTCTACGTGAAAAACATTCTTTATAAACAAATAAGCTCTTTATGAATAAGCCTGCCTTTTCTTATTATGTTTCTTCTTCTGAGCAATAATGAAATGAAACTAAAATTAAATATCTTAAACTTTTTTAATTCCACATTCCGCTTGAATAGATTTAATGTAATAGAGCATTTGATTGGTCCATCGAGTTAAAAAAATTGAAGAAAAAAAATCCACTAATAATTTAATATTGGCCATATTTTTGTTGTTTCGACCGATTTATTGAAAATACTCTTAAATTTACTTTCATAGCTATGAAAGTAGCGATATTTTTCTTAAATAACACAATGTTTTCACAACGATGCTATATAAATATCATATTAAGGATATGATATTTTAGCGCTACCAATAAAAGTACGAAAAAGAACGATAAAGATAAATTGAAATTTCGCTGGCTATTAATTAAATTATTCTATTTTTGTATTATTATTATCAGTTGTATTACGAATCCAATTAGCCGATCAAAACATTCTTATTAGCCGGCTTTGTTTGCTATATTTGCCTTCGTTATTCTCATCTCCTAAAATGGAATATTTGTAAATGTATGTTTTTATTTATTTATTTATTTATTTTTTCTTTCTATTAATTCAGACTTTTGCGGTGAGTGAGATTTAGAGAAACGACGAGCTGTTCGTGCACACGTTTGCGCTAAATTAAACTTTTATATCAGCTACAGTGGAAGTACGGAGGAATTTTATCTCCCAGTGAAAGAGTAAATTTAAATTGTAAAAACGATTAGAACATTATTCGCAAATGAGTTATGTTGCCAGAATGATGTTCACTAAGATGGTTAGGGATGTTGACAACAATGAGATTGACACGACATTATGAAAGACAATATCCGATGTCAGATGGTATGAGAGTAAGCTTGTCGCGTGCTCTAACGAATCCGTGGCTTTGCTCAGCCTTTCACATAAAAAAGCCTCTCGAGGATGAGATTGCGAGGCGGAGTTGACGGTAAGCTTGACAAAGGGGAGCTTTCGCATGGCGGTCGTCCCTCGCCGAGTTAAGTTGGTGTGTGAAAGCGGGGTGAGGCACGCAGGTAGTGCGCGCGCGTTCGTGAGAGAGAGAGAGAGAGAGAGAGAGAGAGAGAGAGAGAGAGAAAACGCGCGGTAATATCGATCGAAGCGATCTAGCCGAAGGCCCGGTTCTATCAAGGCGCTCGATCGCCTCGGGCCCCGAGGCCTTGGCGTCTCCGATGGGGCTCCTTGTGCAAGCTTTTCGAGGTGCTCTCCGGACAGCCTCTTTTCTTTGTGCCGTTTCTATTTTAATTAGCCGTGGACACGCGCCCGTATCCCCGAGGGAGCGAATTCACCGCGGCCACGACGGCTAACGACCAGAGTGCCAACGCCACCTCACCAACGTCGGCTACGAAGTTGAATGATGCAGCGCTCGCTCGGTGCGCTCCCCACGTCGACATTCCTCAAAGTCAAATTTCAACGCGATGGCCAACTCTTATCCTAAATAACTAATGTCGTTTATTTAGGAAAGATGGCAAGTCCACTCTGTGTTTCTTACTCCATCTTATCCCTTATTACGCTTTGTTGTTTAATTGAGTTGACCCTTACGTGGCCGTTTAGCATGTACTTTAGTGACGAAACTTTACGAGATTCATCAAGTCGTTTATTATTCCGTAGCTACGAAATTGCAAATACGCTCGGAATAGGTTGTCACGAGTCTTAAGGGATTCTTATCAGCGCGCGTGTCTTCTATCCTCCCATAATCCTTCATTCGAAATAGCATTGAACAATATAAATAAACGGTATTCCTAGATCGTCTACAGCTCTGACTACACGATTAAACGCACAATATGAATGAATCGAATCGATATGCCCTTTATGCCCCTTTATGTCCCTTTATTGCCTTTACCGCTGTTATGAGCGTGTTTGATGTTTTTCTTTATATTAACTCGTTTTTCTTCACTTTCGCAGCCTGAAATTATTGATACATAAGCTGGCGATTCAATCTTACTAACGCACACACGCACATATGTGTATGTGCGCGCGCGCGTGTGTATATGTATATACGTATATATATATATATATATACGTAAATGGTGTAAATACGTAAATATATAAGAAAAATGGTGACAAAACTGCATTTTATTTGTTCATATATACATATATATATACGTTTCCTCCAATTATCGCAATTTTTACAAAATATCATTATTCAGCTACATTCTCGTTGTTTCATTGAAAAGTAACGTTGAACAAATAAAATGCAGTTTTGTCACCATTTTTCTCAATCTTTAAAACATTTCTAGAATGCACTTTCTAGTATAGTTTTCAATTAGATCAACGAGTTTTGTTTAATGTCTTCAAAGACCGCAAATCATTGGCCTTTTATGGTTATCTTCATTCTTATAATGACTGAAAATCGGCAACTGATTAAGTGCCTAGTTAACGCAACAATTTTTACCATTATTCTGATTATTATTATTATTATTATTATTATTATTGTTTCGCTAAACTCATGAAACATTGACGTACAAGAAGACGTAGGTTTAATGAATTATCGTGGTATGAAGCACGCGAGCAAAGTTTTGTTAAATAATTATTAAAGTTGTATTGTCTTGGCTTTGGAAACGAGACGATTTATTACCCACAATTCCAAATGTCCTTCAACGTGTTTATGTTATAATAATATTACTACTTAATGTAGGAATAAAAATATTTGAAGGAGTAATTACGGACTAGTGCTTAATATGCATCGAAGGCAATATTATACGGGCGAGATTGAAAAATTAAAATTCTTCTCTCTTTCAAAGCTTAACCGATAACTCATTATCTCATTTGAATTAATATTTCGTAAATAATCATCCGAATTGCCCAGTTCGTATGGTACAGTTTTACACTCTCAAAAAAATACGGCTGTCTTTTACAGGAAATTTATAAGGCCATAAGAGTCCAATTATCTCGTAAGGAAAACGATAAAGTCTGCGTTCACAGAAGGAGCAATTGCTGTTTTCACTTCTGTTAATTACCTATATGCAGCATACATTTTAATCCAATAGCCTACACATAAGCCTACACGCATCAATATTTATTAAATGCTCACTTTGCCAATACAGCATCGAATGCTAAATATTGACACAAATTACATGTTGGAATAAAACTTCGTTTCAATAAAATAAACGCGCACTTGCCGAAACATGTAAAACTTTTTTAATTTAGTAATAATGGCTTAATTATATCAAGAAAAAATAACAAAAATTCAATTACGAGTTCGACTAGTATAGTGAAATTGTAATATTATTGAATTGAATGCAGGCACTTATATGCAATGCCATTGGCACATAAATAAATAAATAATATTAATAATTATTAATATATAATCGTTGTAGGATATGGGTAATAATTGTCAAATTTCGTTTATGTTTATTAGATTCGTCGAGCAAGCGAAACCGTTCACCTCCCTATAAATATAAGCAAAGCTGACGCCAATCTAAATTACACAACTATGCATCCCAACATCGTAGACATTAATAGTGCGAACAGCGACCGTAGATTATCACTCATTCTTTCTCTTATTTACTTTAGCTACAGTCCATTGAAAAAGGCCGAGAAATACGTTCATTAAATCGCTCACTTTTATGGATGCATGACTTTCTATAGTAGTACTTGTCGCTATTGGCAGGGTGCGAATCAATATTAAGTATTGATTCGTCTTTTCCCGTACCCGGTTTCATAATAATAAAGATGGAGAGACTCGCGCGCGAGGCCTAAGTCTCGCCCGAGCAATTTCACGGAACTTTTCCCATCACCTTTAGATAACTACTAGTCGACTTTCTTTCAGGATGTAATGTATTATGCTTAGGATGCAACTGTGCGCACGCAACAATCGGTTATCCAAAGTTTGTCATTGTTATAATTTGTTAAACTAATTTGATGAATTTCGATGGAACGTCTCAAAACTGACCTTACTCGCTACTAATATATAAAACTCGATTTATCGTATTTTAATCATCGAAATGAATTACGAATTACATTAAATAACATTATCTTTCTCCCACCAGATCACACGATTTTTAATGCATTCTAAATACTATTGAGTATTGTTTTGCATAATTTTATAAATTATTTTACCGCATTCGATTTATTATCCATATTTTCAAATTATACAATTCCATGCAAGAGAAAATAATTCCTATAAATTATTAACTTTTAATTATTGCATTTATTTTCACGTAGTTTGATAATAACATAACTAATATTAATTAAGATAAATGTAAAAAATTCCAATAACATTGCGAAATATCGTAAAAAATAATATTAAACTAAGGTTATTTTTGCTTCTACATTCTTTTTGTATGTCCGATGTTCGTCATGTAAGATTTCATTTACCTTTCTTGAACACAAATTTAGAAATCTTCGAACTAATAAAACATCAAACTTAACTATCGACTAATTATGAATATTGGCCTTATTGTACCTATAAAATACAATAAACTACATTTTATTATTAGCAAAAACTTTATGTTTTTAGAAATTGTCTACTCGAAACAAGTGCAACTACAATCACATATTATGTTGCACATTGAATTAATTAGACGATGTGCAAAGACACAACAACGCAAAAACATCAATCAATACTCTCTCATCGACGTCTCAGAGCAATTTAAAACTAATATTATTACGAACGTAAAAAATTCAAGTAAAGTAAAGGACGAATAAATAATAACAAATAAATAACAACGACGATGGAATATATTAATTGAATATTATAATCAATTGAAATTAATCGTTTGCCACATTCGGCATAGACATATTTGGTGGCATGGTTGTCAAAACTTGTACAGTAGAAATAGTTCGTGATAAAAACATGTCTATATAAACAAATTTATATTTCCTTGTTTTATACACAGCATCAAGTTTTACACATAACGATGAATATTTTAAAGAGGGAACTACTCAAAAAGATGTCACGTTTTTTGTTAAAATGGCGAAATGTAAAGCCGCAGGGAATCCGAATACTATTTTTAATTGGACTATCGTTGTTTATAAAACACGCATTGTTCCAAATTAATACTCAGCTTATTTCGAATGCGTATCTTTTAAATTAATCTCATTAATTAATCTCTAATTGCCAAAAATAATATACACGAACATATTTACACGCGTGGGAGCTCAATTTTTCGTGAACGTTAAAGCATTAAACACGTTGAAATACATAGATTTAAATTGAAATTGAAATTTTTATATATTAAATTCAAAGATAAATTTTATTCGTGTAAAGCAATGCAAATTCTCCATCGATTTATAAGTATCCGTGTATCGTGTGATATCGTTTTTTACTTCGGCAACCCTTCCAAAGTCGAGATTCATGCAGCAATACTTATAAATTACCATAAACATTCATTATGCATTATTTATGTTGTGAAGTTGTAAAATATTTTATTATTCATGTCGTCGAGTATGCATAGAAATGATAACGCAAAAAATTCTCGTAAAATTAACAACTAAAAAAAAAGCCGAGAAAGATGTGTCAAAGTCGTGATAAATTTGCTTTAGAAGGATAAAAAAGAACGAAGCAAATGATAATTTCAATATAAATTTTTATCATTAGTTATTAATAAATTTAGCAAATTGATATTTCGTTGAACTCAAAGGGAGTGGAAATATCCAGTGAAAGCTCGTTTGAATTTGATTATCACCTACGCACCTAAATTTGAATAATATAAAGAAATGAAAATCTTTGAAAATTAAAATGTTTTTTGAAAAGTAAAAACAAGAAGAGCGAAAAAAAAGAGCAGAAGAAACGGAAGAAACTCGGTCCAATTTTATTCGTCCAGTCTCTGTATAACTATTTAAAAAGTCACATTTATCGATAATAAAATGTACACGGCTTTTTCGTCTCCTAATCGATTTCGCTCTAAAGACAATTTCATCGGCTCGCGCACACAGTACGTGAAATAGCATGTAAATTAATTATCAACCAAACTGAAAACATAATAAGCCAATGAATTCCAGGTGTTCTTGGAGAAGCTGTTCACACTGTTCGATCAAAATCGGGAAGGATGGTTAAAACAAGACGAATGGATTGAATTCCTGAAAGGCAGACTGATGTAAGTCTTTTTCCGTTCTTTATTATCGTCTTCCTTTGACGTCTCGAGCGATTTCGTCGCCGGACGTGCAGCTCCGGCTATAAGCCCGAGAGCAACGGCGACTACAGATTTATGTGCCTTTTGGCTTTGATCACTTTCAGTACTGAGAAGCAGAATGACTTTGTCGACCAAATCGAGAGCGTGGCTTACGTACTTTGCGGTGAGGAGTCGGTCAATTTCACCACATTCCGACAGATATTCCACGCCAAAGGAGTAAGCCCACAATAACGTTTAAACGTTTCCTTTTTTTTTCTCTACTTTTCTTGCCCTCGCCTCCAGTAAATATCAATCCTTGTAGGGATAACGAGGTGTAAATACTAAGGTTTATTTGATATTTTATCCGAAGAAATAAAATCTATGGCTTAACTTTGATCTTCGGCATATAATTATGCCTTTACACATACAATTTACAATAGGAGAGTAATTTTTAATAAAATAAAACAAAAAAAAAAAAAAAAAACAAAAAAAAATAATAAAAATTAAAAAAAATGTCAAAGATTTCTGTCATAATTAAGTACAAAAGGCAGCACTTTAACGCAATAAAAGTTATGTCAATCTTCTCGATAATTCTCAATAAGCAAGCCATTCTTAAGAATGAATTAACAACGATTATAACTATTAGTCGAAAAAATTGTTACTTTAATAATTATCGCTACCTCGTTTGCACTACAATTGCATTTTATTATAAAAAAAAAAAGAAACAAAAAAAGAAACAAAAAAAAGATAAACAAAAAAAGAAACAAAACAAAAAAAAACAAAAAAAAAACATTAATTTTACTTTCCTTACTTTAAGCCAAAACAGTGTAATAATTAATTATTCTTCGGCTTATAATCGTACGTAAAGTGAGAAATCTGTAGAGTTATATATTTACATTATATTAAGCTCTCAAAATACTTTTAAAAGAATTTACTTGCAATATTCAATAAACAACATTACAAATAGCTCTTTGTATGAATATATATATATATATATATATATATATATATTACATATGACTATATGATTACAGATTATTGAAAAATTACTTAAGCTCATCGATATAGAATGTACAGGATATGCAACACCTGAGCAAATAATGGAATTTATTTCTTCAATCACTAATCCAAGGTACATCTCAACCGTCATTTATTAAGATTAGATATTTAGAATATTAAATATGTTAAGTTGAGTGAGATTTGCATTTTAGGGCGAGAATTGGCTTTGACGAACGCAATTTAGAATGGTTGGAAAAAATATTTAAGCAAACCGTTGGAAACGAAAAAGAGATAAGACGAGAGGAGTTCAAAAAAATTGTTACATCAAAAAATGTAAATATATTTTTTTATTATATTATAATTGTTAGTGAATAATTTTATAAGTACTGTCAAATTTTCATAACAAGAGATTAGAAGAAAAAGAAATAAAATCTAACAAAATTAAATAGTTAAAAAGCAATTTTATAAAAGTATTTATTTACTATTATTTGTTATTTAGTTTTTATTGGTATTGTAGTATTTTTTTTTTTTTTTTGTATTAGTAATAGTAATATTATTAATTTGTTTTTTCTACCGAAATTTAAAGAAATGGTTTTAAAGTATTTAAATTCTGAACTTGTCGCATCTGAAAGTACCAAAAGATTTTTTCATTTTAAAGCTGATGATAATTGTTTAATATTAAATACAACATTACTCTCCATTAATCTCCATTCTAATATATTTTTTTTAAATTTCACAATAACGACAGAGAAGGTTTATTTGGAAAAATTAGTGTAATAATGTGCGTAAAATATTCGTGACTATTTAAACATTATGACTTCATTAATACAAGTAGATGATTACATTATATATATATATATATCCACTAAATACTTGTTATAAATAAATAATTTTTATCGTCTTTATGCCTACGCATTGGATAGTCATTTCGCTCTATCATCACGTATACGTTAAATAAAAAATAAATTTTTCTAGCCGTTCTTTACCGAAAGGGTCTTTCAAATTTTCGACAAGGACAATTCCGGGACAATATCGTTACAGGAATTCCTCGATGCGATGCACCAGTTTGCCGGAAAGTCACCCGATGACAAAATTAGATTCCTCTTCAAGGTCTACGATATTGATGGTCAGTTTAGTTTTTTAATAGAAATTTTATGAGCTTTAATAAATTTCCAAAAGCATTTTGGTCGGATGAGAAGCTAAAATCGTTAACTATTTATAAAATTCATTCAACTGCAAAATATATTATGCAATCGATAGACCGGTGATTATGTAAGATGCTTAAGACTAAAAAAATTTGATTCGTGCGTGAAACCTCCATCAAACGATCTTAGTGCACATTCAAAATGCTATAATTATGTTTCTTTTTACAAAAAGACGGTTAGTTATGTTGATTTCTCTTAATAAAATGCTATAGGCACACGCAGTTTCTATATTTCCGTAGTAATCGTCTTTTTTCCGAATCGAACGGTATCCATATCGTATCTCTTCTGATTATTTATTAATTTATAATATAGAAATTTCCGTTATTTTCGATATTATTCTAAACAGTAGTATTTTTGCAGAAAATTAATAAATGAAAAAATTAATAAAATATAATATAATAAATAAATACTAAAGATTAATGCAGTTCGTTAGTTCAACTTATGACCCAATAAAAGCTTAAACGTTAAATAAAATAAGCTCAAAACACTATTTTTCATTGATCATATTTAATCTAATCTCTAAATATTAATTATTAATATGTTTAAAAAATCAGCCTTGCATACAAAGTTTATGCATTTTATCCGGAGATATTTTCATTTAGAACGTAGTGTTTGTATCACACGAATGAAGCGCGATAATAACGTAAATTAATTTTTATAAAAACATATAATTGCATTATTAATCTGTGTAGTTAGTCGTACATTATATTACAAATTAATTTTGACTACCGTCAAATATAAAATTTTTTAGCATTATGTAGCTGCAATTGACAATAGTTTTATTTAACATAATATGAGTTTGAAATTTACCTTTCCATCTAACGAAGATCAATCGATCGAGCCAAAACTAATAATTTGTATGCTGATACGAATGTAGATGTTGAAAAAGTTTTTTTTTCCTTTTTTTTTTCCTTCTTTTTTTTTTTTTTTTTAAATCCTAATTAATGATAATCCACGATGATATCGTAGTTTGAGAAGTATCGTGCCTTTGGATCACCGATATATTTAAACTTATGCCGGATTAAGCGCAATGTAGCCTAGGTCGGAGCAGAAATCCACGAAAATCTTGAATAATTTCATCCTTACTTTGAAAAAAAAAAAAAAAAATAAATAAATAAATAAAAATCCCTCTCTTGCGCGTTCGCTAAAAATATATAAAATGCAGTTATTATACTTTTACAAGACATATGAAAAGAACGATTGGCCATCGATAAATCTGCATTGGAATTTCTTTGCGCGAAAGAAAAATATTATTTCATTATTCTAACGCGTATGAAAGACTGCTTCCCAAGCCAGTTTCGTCAAAGCGAGAAATTTAATGTCGCAAGCGTTGCTAAATAAACGTTGCAAATAAGCTAAAAGCAGTATCGTGTATTTAGATGATACCCACTCGAAGTTCCGAGTCGGCGTTGAGAGAGTGAGAGAGAGAGAGAGAGAGAGAGAGAATGAGAGTGAGAGAGAGAGTGAGAGTGAGAGTGAGAGAGAGAGAGAGAGTGAGAGAGAGAGAGAGTGAGAGTGAGAGAGAGAGAGAGAGAGAGCGAGAGAGGGAGAGAAGGGCCATTTCGGTTAATGTCGGCCCGAGCACAAGTTCCAAGTGTTCACATTAACGGCTCGACCTTTTGTGCCGTGGGGACTTTGTCATCCTCTAGGCGACGGCCTGATTCAGCTGCGAGAGCTCGAGCACGTGTTGCGCGCCTGCATGGAAGAGAACGGCATGCGGTGCAGCGACGAGCAAATCGAGGAGCTGACGACAGCCCTGTTCGAAGACGCCGACCAGGGCAACCGGGGCGCGATCACCTTCGAGGCTCTCAAAAGGCAACTGGAGAAGCACGACGGCCTACTGGAAAATCTCACCATTAGGCAAGTCAATTAGACCACGACGACCATTATATGCCGCGAACAGTCGTTAGTTCGAACGGTCGGCCATACCTCGCACTTTTTCTTCCTTCTCTCTTTGTAATCCAGTTCAGCGGCTTTTTTTCCCTTACGTTCGCGCGAGCTCCGCGCGTATCCATTCCCGGACGCCGATACTTAATTATTTTATAATATTGTTGGCAATCGGCAGTACTCGCTCGCCGGCCCTTTTCGAATTTGTCCTTTAAAATTACTTTTATAAAGATTTTTTATCAAGTTCTTTAATACTCGCCGTCATTTATTATTATTGTTGTTGTCGTTATTATTATTATTATTATTATTATTATTATTATTATTATTATTATTGTTATTATTGTTATTATTGTTATTGTTATTGCTATTATTGTTATTGCTATTATTGTTATTATTATTAATACATCTTATAGGCAATTACAATAAGATGATCGATATTCTATAAAATATTCGTTCAGCGCTTAGTAGGATAAATGAGTTTACATTAATCGCGCTAACAGCTTCTTTCCCAGATTATCTGACAATCTAAAACATTAAAATATCTATATTTTTTTTAATAGTTAAATAAAGTAAATGAATGATTAATAAGATTCTGCTTCCCAACTCATTTTAAAGTAACGTTCATCGAGTTAACGTTAACCTTCGCTTCGCTAATAAATTCAACAAAAACGACATTAAAACTGCAAGAGATATGTCGAATTACAGAATTATTGAACGAATGAGCTCGGAGACTTGTGATTGTTACTATGATTGTTGAAGTAATTGAATTTGCAGGATTTGAAATATTTCAATAAATGAGTAAAATATTAGACATTGTAGCAGCGCGTATATATTAAATAAAATTCATGATTTAGTTAAAATAATCAAGATTTATCGAATGCGGCATACTGAATAGTTCATTAAGAATGGCTTTTTATTTTAATTTCGATATAATTTAGTGCAATAAATCATTTAATCATCATTTAAATGTCCAATTGGGGCATAAAAAAACTTCCATTAATATCAATTGCTCTATCCATTTGACGCTTTAAATATTATAATTATAAATAAAATACACGACACGCATCTTATCATTTTATTTTTGTTTTGAATTTTTTAGCATAGACAGATGGTTGGTGCCTCCAAAACCAGAAGAACCAAAAACGTTCCTTCCTAAACAATTACGACCATATCAATTAACGAAACCATATTTAAAAAATAATTATGTAAAAATTGCATTTATATCGACATTCATAATAATCAATCTTGCACTTTTCGTATCGAGAGTCTATCAATACAGACATGCGAATGGATATGTGATTTTGGCACGAGCTTGTGGTAAGATTATGATCTAATAATTTAACTTATGTTAGGGCTTATTTTAGAATAATAATGATGAGAAACGAGGCAAATGACATAATACAACTGTCGCTGTGACAAATAAAAATTTTAAAAATTTTAAACCCTTTGATCTCAGCCTGACTTTTATAGATGAGCCTCGATTATTAATCGATTGATTCAAACACTGCTTTTGCGTGTGTGCGTGTGAGAAAGATAAGGTATCAAGACATCGTTTGGGCGAATAGCAAGGCATTTTATTTCCTAAAAATTCAATGCTCCTGCAGTGCCTAAAGGAAGAATTTCAAAACACTTTCGACAACAGTGTTCCTCCATCTATCCAATAAATATATCAATCAATATGAACGTAAAAACTTAACTTTATCTAAACGAGAGATATATAAATTGCGGTACTTCGATAGCCATTATTTGCCCTTCCACTTCACTTAACACATCAATTTATTATTATTCTTCGATTGCTTTTAGGACAATGCCTCAACTTTGATTGTATGTTCATCCTCGTGCTGATGCTTCGACAGTGCATCACATTTCTTAGAACTCATGGATTCAGTTTCGTTCTACCATTGGATAATCACATATATCTCCATAAAATGACGGGGGCCCTCGTTGGCATACTCAGTCTTATTCACACCCTCATGCATCTACTCAACTTCGGTATGTTTGCTTACGTAAATGAAAGAACGTCATTTTAATGATCGCTCGTAGGGAATATGGCAACTTCCAGGCCTTAGATCAATTATCGATCGACCATCGCTCACGGATATACGGATAATTAATTTGCTTTCTTGTTAATTATTACATCCTATTAATACGACAGAGTTGTATGCAGATCGAACGATTACATAAAGTCCATGATTTTCTACAAATGTATATTTATTTTATCAACTCACGCGAGTGTATCAATGTCAACTAAAAACGACCTATTAGTGGCCGTGCAATAAGATTAGATTAAATAAAGCATTTTCTCCATACACGCTTAAACTAATTACAGTATTAACTGACATACATTATACAATTGTTAATATATAGTCGTGTAATTTAAAGTTTAATTATTTTTCTCTCTCTCTTTTTTTTTTTTTTTTTTTTTTTTTTGTGTTTCTATGTTCTTTCGTGGTTTTTTTTTTCTTTCCTTTTTCTTAATTATAAATGAAAGCAAAACAATTTCTGAATTAATGGCAAATTATCAATTAAAGACATAGACAAGAATATCACTTTTTGACTACGGTTTTATTAATTAATATTATTGTCTATTATTTACAAGTAAAACCAGCGTTTGGTATTATTATAGCGCCTTTGAAATCTAAGGAATTCTTTAAGAAATAAGGGGAAAAAAAAATCTAAGGATTGGAAATCTAAGATTTAGCCATACAACTTTAAGCTAAATTGTAAACGAGTGTTGTTAAATGTTTCAAATTAACAAAGATCACTGTACCGCTACTATTTTTCTCATTAATTATAACAACAAAACAAAAACTCAATTAGATAAATATGGCAATTAGAGTATCAATTACAATTATTTATAACAATAAATTCTTTAATAAGCGTGGACATGTCAACTGTCACAGTGCAATTCCATAAATTGCCCTACAAATCTGGTCGTTACTTGTAATTAATAGCACGCAAATGATTTGTACTTTCGTAATAAGACTTTATTGACATTGATTGATATTATCGCGATAAAAAAAAAATTATGAAACGCGTTACTACGATAAGTCGAGAAAAGAGCGAGATTTTTTTTTTTTGTCATACTTGGTACACATAATACATATTAGACATATATGCGTATGTACACAGTTGAGAGTGAGAGTGAGAGTGAGAGTGAGAATGAGAGTGAGAGAGAGAGAGAGAGAGAGAGAGAGAGAGAGAGAGAGAGAGAGAGAGAGAGAGAGAGACGGATATAGTGGTACCGGACTATCTTATCGCTAAACGAATGTATTTAAGCCTTTGGTCGGATCATTTATACAGACATTTACGAGACAGTCTCGTGCAGCTTAATTGGCCTAATTTTAATTTATCTTTACGATGCTAGAAATACAAGAAGCGAATAGCAGTTTCCGTATTCGTTTATTGAAATGTAATAAATAAAAAGAAATAATGGTACCGAGCCTCGTCAATTTATCCGCCGATTTTTTATTGATCTTACACGGTGCGTTAAAGTCTATGTTTTTTATAAGCGCCAATGTCTCGCTCGAGCTTACGCTATTGCTCGTCGACTCCTCCTCGGCCTCGCGGACATCCTCTCGCTAGTGTTTAGGGATCGCACTCGCAGGTACCGCTGTGACAGCTAAATCATTGCCAATCAAGGGCGAGCCACGATCGAACGCGAAGCCGCCGTTAGCCTGCGAACGTCAATAAAGTCAGCGTCAGTTAATTGCTCGCGGCTGGAATTTACGTAGGGACGATCGTCATCAAGGACGAGCACCTGAACAGCGCCAATTACACGATGTCCGAGTGGCTGCTGACAAGTCGACCCCGGCTCTTTGGCCTCGTCGCCGGCGGTGCCAATCCCACGGGTGTCGCCTTGATCGTCATCCTCGCCGTCATGAGCGTCTGCTCGATGCCCTTCGTGCGCAGGGGAGGCTGCTTCGAGGTACGATACAACCACGATCCTCGCACAATCCTATTTCGCGGCCGATGCTTCCCTCACCACCGTGGCTCCCCGGTCTCTTTCACTTTCACCATGCAATAATCGCACGCTTTCTTACACGCGCACGCGTGCTCACTCGGAGATATTATGACGTGGGAACGTTGCAGCTTCCGCTTACCGAAACGATGACGATGACGATGGCGATGGCTTTTTTTCTACGCGGAAGGCTACGAGAATAAAAGATCATCGTCCTTTAATGAACTACGGGGCTATTTAATCGACAAGCACCTGCAATTCGAATCCTCTCTCTTTGGCGCAAAGCCCACCCCACCTACGCTACTAACGGATTACCGGACCTACGGTATTACGCAAAATAATCTTACAACGCGTCCATGTCCGATAAGAATTGTTTGTAAAATGTCACCCCACCCCGTCCCACCCCGCCCCACCCCTCCCCACACCACCTCTCACAATATCTTGCGTAGGTCTTTTATTGGTCGCATTTGCTCTACGTGCCCTTTTGGATACTCACGATATTCCACGCTCCGAATTTCTGGAAATGGTTCGTCGTTCCGGGCCTAATATACGCGGTCGAGCGCATCCGTCGACTGGCTTGGGTGGAAGCCCAGCGTGGCAAAACTTACATAAGCTCGGGTCTGCTGCTGCCGTCCAAGGTCACGCACTTGGTCATCAAAAGGCCGCCGAACTTTGACTTCCGACCAGGTGACTACGTCTTCGTTAACGTCCCCGTCATCGCCAAGTACGAGTGGCATCCATTCACCATTAGTAGTGCGCCCGAGCAGGAAGGTACGTACCGTTTCTTTTTGTCAATCTCATTTTCGTTCGATGATTATCCAGTTGGACTCTCCGCTCGTCAAGACATTGAAATTACAACAACAACAACAACAACAACAACAACAACAACAACAACAATAAAATAAACATAAATAAATAAATCAATAATGCACGGATAATACAAAAGTTTTATCTTATTGTTGCATTAGCTAGCGATATTTGGCGTATTTTGTTGAATTATCGTGCCGATAATTGTGCAATTAACGTGCCGGCCACAAGTCATTTGACTTTTTCTAAAACCTGGCCACACTTCTACCGACATTTAATATCGAATGCCTACGTGTCAATAGTAAAACTAACATTTTAATTTGCAATATTTAGAAAAGCTTAAGAGGCATTAAGAGATGCGCGAGTAGGCGTAGCTATCAATGTTCGAGCATTGAATAAACTATTAAGCAATAAGTTAATGAAATTAATTATTCCTCTTTGTTCGACAGAGTACATGTGGTTGCATATTCGTGCTGTCGGTGAGTGGACCAATAGTCTATATTATTATTTTGAAAAGGAACAGCAGAAGCTTCATCGAGGCGATGTTTTACCCGTCGAAAATACCAGAAAAACACCGTAAGAATAAATGTTATCCTTACGTTTCATCGTTTTGCAAAGCGCGCTGTTTCTTCATAATATACCTTTGTAATATCAACGACTTTTAACTCCGCATAAATCTAGGTGCAAAGTCGTAAAAACTATTCCAAACCTACTGGAGAAGAAATTTTCCACGGATTCGCTCGATGATCCAAGGGGCCTAATAAATCCAGTTTTTCTACCGGATCATGAAAAGACATCGTCATCAAATCCCACGATAAGTTCTCCATCCACATTTTCCATGGCTACCGAATGTAAACGATTATTGTTTATCGCATGATTATGATGTTTATCGCTGAATTACAAGTGAACAAATTGATTTGTGTCCGTTTTAGCGAACAACGCTCGAGCCGGTCCTATGCGTGAAAAAAAGCTGCACCAGCTTGTTTTAACTAGCAAAATGCCCCTTGAGAAGTCATTCTCGATGCCCGATATGCAAACTAAAACGAAAAAGAGACAAAGAATGATTGTGTAAGTCAACAAATTCGAACTGTTAAGGCGCGCTTTCATCGGGCTACATAATTTTATATGACAAACATACGTCCGATATTAACACAATCTTAGCAAACTTTACTAACTTATCCAAACGATCAAAATTGAACTAACAAGCATATCTCGGTCGTTAATAACTTGCCTCTAAATATTTTATTAACAATCCGAGTGACAAACATTATAAAATACTTGTTTAAATATTGTCATATTAAAGCTTCTTATTTACTTTAATTGGATTATTAAGAGGAATTTAATTGAAAATCTCAATAAGTAACGCAGGAGTGTCAGTCAGCATGGTGTGAGGCAAATGGTTTCTCTAATATGTGCTTTATCATTATGAATTATATCGTTTATGGGCATTCGGCATTCACTGTTGAAAATAAATAAGTTAATTGCCACTCGTCGACAGTGTGTCCACGTAATTTAATGATTTCTGACATAACGATAGCCTTGCTTGCATATTGAATTAATTCTGAAAAATCGCAAGCACGATTAGCTCTAATCGCTAATCTAATTAACAACTGACACGAAATAAATACATTGTATTATCATCAATTTCTAATATTAATAATAATTATATAATAAATACTCGATACAATCAGAATCGAATATTGATCGCTTGAAAGCGATTTACGATAAATTCACAGTTGGTTTAATCATATATTAATTAAACGTTCGTTTTACATTTTTTTCAACAGACTTCGTGATTACATGAGGTCCGAGTCTGAGAAAAGTTTCGACGAATGTTCGATGCGCCGTGCAAGATTAAAATCACTCGGCTTGGCTTATCTTAGTCCACAAAATAAATCATTGGCACAAAGCTTTCGTTATATGCGCACCAAACCAACCATCATAGCATTTAAAACTCCGAGTTTGGAGAATTGCGAGTATGAAATTCCTTCGTCAGCAACAAAATCAAGTGAGTTACTTAAAAGTAAATTCTTAGTGTACGTATTTCATTTTTGACCGCTACCTTAAATTAACAACCAGAGAGATTATTTTAATTAAAATTGCTTAAATGTGAATCGCTAATCTTGCGGAACGTAAAGTTAATAATGGTAAATCGTAGCTATGAACGAAGATGATGAAAAATCGATGGCAGGTTGTTTGCCAGCAGCCGCGGAAGAAGGCAAAGTTGGCAAATTGTATGGAGAAAAGAGAGAAATAAGCTGTTTCAGTGGCGTAAAGTGTGAAATCTCTGTCCATACGAACGGGATAAATTATCCCGTTGGCAAGCCTCTTGAGGTACGTGTGCACACATACTGATTAAGAACTAAACGGCGTTATATTAATTGAATGAAGAAATTGTCGTTTCTAATGAATAAGACCCTCGTATTTATTATATTTAAGCATACATCCAATCAATAATGTTTCTTTTCCTATTTTAAATCGAGCCGAACAATAGTTGCGTGTGCGCATGCAGCCAACAAATTATCGCGCACATATTCGTTTCATTCGATAATCATGATCAATGTCACTTACCACTACATACAAAAGTATACATTTACCCTCGTTATTATTATTCTTGTGATAATACGACAACAGCCATAGTCGTTTGTCGCAAAACTACTATTACAACGTTAATAAAAGCAAAGTGCAACAATGTCGCCCCCGAATTTCTTTCATTGCCACAGATTTACCTGGATGGGCCGTACGGGGCCCCGTCCAGTCACATATTCCAGGCCCAGCACGCGGTCCTCATAGCAACGGGCATCGGGGTCACGCCGTTCGCCTCGTTGCTCCAGTCGATAATGCATCGCTACTGGAAGGCTCGGCATACCTGTCCCAAGTGCTCCTTCGCTTGGTCCAGCGAGATACCCGCCACGGTCATGAAGCTCAGAAAGGTGATTTGGGAATTGGCAATGCGGATAAGATCAGACCACTCCGTATTGACATTCGGCATTTCATACGCTTGACAATAATGGTCGATGGTGAGGCTCGCGACCGTCGCTTCTCACACGACTGACATACCGCCCACCACTACCAATACGCCATTAGCATTGATTAGCTTGAAACGCACTCGCTCTAGGGCTCTTGGGCATTATTCGATTTGCCTAATCGCCGATCGCCAGCACTCGGAATCTCAAGATCATCGCGACATCACGTTTGCTAATAATGCCAACGCGCCGCTTCTTCCGAATAAAAAACGGTCGTTTAATTAATCCGCGCGTGCCCATTAACACAGCATCCCAACGAGATTATCACTACGATAAGGTCGATGCGGGAGCTTAGGTGGCGTCAAGCCAACGGCGCGACAATGTAGAGCTTATGGATTTTATTTTTGTAAAAAGGTGGACTTTTTCTGGATCAACAGAGATCAGCGCTCGTTCGAGTGGTTCGTCAACTTACTCTCGCAGCTTGAGATTGAGCAGGCTGAGCTCGGCGTGACAATGGAGCGTTTTCTCGAGATGCACATGTATATAACCAGCGCCCTACAAAAGAGCGACATGAAGGCTGTGGGACTGCAACTCGCCCTGGATTTGCTCCACGAGAGGGTGAGTCATTTGGCATAGTACGTCCGTTAAGCGGAGCAAGCCAAGTATTTTGCCTGCAAGCATTTTTTTTTTTTTTTTTTTTTTTTTTAATCACCTTTCTCATCATTCGCGCGTACGCGAAGAACTTGAAACATTACTCTCGATTAATATAAACCGTAGCTTTGTCTAGGGTTTAGGGCCGGTAATGACAAAACTACGTTTCAGCTCGTTGAAACATATATATATATATATATTTAGTCTATTGTATGATGAATATAGTGTAGATGTGTGCCAACGCTACGTACTTTTACTTGTTTTAATTTACCGTTTAAGATCTAATAGCGAGCGAATTAGCCAATTTAGTATTAATTTTTCTCTTCTCCATCAATACGATACATCAGGCTTCACTATTAACGACGTGCGTTCTGCAATAAATTTGTCTTGAAATTCGCCAAAACGACTTTATTATCGAGGAATTTGAACTCAATTCAGAACAGAAAAATTTCTTTAATTTTTTTTTTTTTTTTTTTTTATATATATATTTAATTAGCTCGCTAAATTAATAGATATTGACCCATAATGCTAAGTGATAAAATTGTAGCGCGAGAGACCGAGGAGAATACACCAATTTTGCAGTCAATTACATAACGTCGTTAAAGTAAAGTGATTATTAAGTAAAGTGATATAAACTATAAACACTTGAATTATGCAGTATTACGTAAGCACTATCGTCCATAATTTTCTCTCGGCATTTACACGATAGGTATACAATGATATAGTTGTAACTTATGTTATAATTGTCAATTAATGGTAATCGAAAAGCAATTGTTTGCGAGGCAATTTTCCAGTCCATTGGCAATAATACAAAAGATGTTCGAGCAATCCCTACCATTGAACGGGAGAGCTCGCACGTACACGCATATATATATACATATATATATATATATATATATATATATATATATATAATTATGCAAGAAATAATATGTTCGGTTTGTATAAAAGACTTTGTGTATAATTTGCAGGAGAAACGGGATCTTATTACTGGCCTAAAGACGAGAACAAATGCTGGCAGACCCAATTGGGATAAAGTATTTAAGCAGCTACAGGATCGCAAAAAGGGAAAGATTACAGTCTTTTACTGCGGCCCGCCACAACTTGCCCGCATTCTACGCTACAAGTGCGACCAATTCGGCTTCAACTTCCGCAAAGAGACATTTTGAACGAACGATTTACGAATTTGCATTGAAACGATGTCTTTGTCGCAAGTATCGAGTCTCTCTTGCCACCTGTAAATGTAAATGCCTATATTATGCGCAAGCAAGAGCAGCTCTCGCATTGCTTTCAACAACTTTTTTCCCTCTTAATTTCCATTCTATTTCGTGTGTCGGTATTGGTGCTCGAAAGACCATACATCGATAAAATAAACAAGCGCGCGTCCATTTCAAATAACAATATTGTTATTATTAATAAATATTAGCGGGCATTTTTCGGCGTCCTGGGATTATGACGAGGGCCCGAGACTATTATATTGTAATAATAAATTATAATAACCAACTGTCTAAGCTCTTAATTTAACATTAAAACAGATCGAGCTGAATTGATGAAAATTTCAATGCAAATTCATCACCGTCGTCACCCATATGAAATACAAATTATTTCAAAAGAAATTTATTATAGTGTCCTGTGCAAGCGAGCAAAAGTTATTATAGAAATAAGAATAATTACGAATCGATATGACTTGGCTTATACTCTTCTTAAATTTTTTCTACTAATTTTCCAACAACTTTTGGAGAAATTGTACTTTGAACATTGTAACTGTATAGGGCTATTACGATTTTTCTTTCCCTTTCACTAGTCACATTACGAGCGCCACGTTTTATGTAATTCTATTCGTATGTGATGGCTATTGTCCTCTTAAAATTTTTGAAAATTATATTGTTTAAAGGATGCAAAATTTCTTTCAAAATAAACTTCTTTGTAACGCATCTACCAACGTTCCTGACAAATGCTTTGGCTTTTGTCAATTTAAATATTTAATTACTCCAAGTTTAATGCAAATTTACTCAATGAAACTCGAATTTATTATTATATTAAATTTTTATTTTTACAATATAAATTTCAACTAATATCGTTTCTAATACAATGATCATTGGATACTTCGAAATTATCGACTCGATTACCTTTTATGTAAACTCAAAAAATATGATTTATATCATAATATTCGGTATATTTTTATATTCTCTATATAGTATGAATTTAATAATTCATCCGAGCTTAATGATTTGATAGAAAATAAATAGCCCAATTAAATGAGAGTTACAAATTACTTGACTAATCATCGGCATAATAGATATTCCGTTGAAGAATAAGTTATTCATCGATAAGGCAGCATTTGAAATTTGACAATTAATTTCTTTACAATACGTTCTCTCACTCGTTTCGATACAGTTTGATACAACAACACATAACAATTAATCATAATTGTTCAATAAATTACTATAACAAATAATTACACATATGTGGTGTAAAATAATTATGTCAAGAAGAAGTGTCGTATACTTTTAAATAATCTGCTCAAATAAACTAAATATTAAATAAGTAATACTTCACTATCAGTAGCTCCGAAGAGTATTTAAGCTCTTTTATTATATGCTGCTTTAGACAGTTGACAACTGAAAAAACGAATATTATTTTTCATTCTTAATAATAATAATAATATATATATATATATATATATATATATATATATATATATATATATGCAAAATATTTGTTACACTTGTATTAATGAATCTTTACCAAATTGACTGGCTTAATATCAACTGTTTTAGCAATATTAACGATATACTTAACCGTTTACTTAATATATCCAAAGCATAAATTTGTTAAAATTAATTTGAATATTAAACGCTAACACTATTAAGTTTTATATATGTAATAAATCTTTATCGAATCCACAATGAGATAATTATATACGCCAGAGGACAACAATTTGATAAAATCACATTTACAAGTTTTTAAATTTAATTCCTATTTACTTGCTCTTGTATGCTTCTCGCTGTAATTGATTTTAAGGTGTTTTTATTTTATTTATTTTATTTTATTTTTTTTTACGCAATTTAACAAACATACAATATTTAAATATACATTATTGCAATAGAATAAATAGCAAAGTCTTAAAAACAAAAAATTATGTATAACAAGATTTTTTCAATACTTACTTGATTACGTGAAATATCGACTGCTATATCCACAAAGTTTATAAATAATTCTTTGAAAAAACTTGTGTAATTATTGATGTACTACTGAACCATCTAGTTGTTTCATTGTAAGCCGACGCAAGTACAAATTGTTAATATTATTATTATTAAATTCGATTAAATGCATAATTCTTTTATTTATTTCCATTATATTTTCGTTTATAATTACGATTGCTTCGTTATGCACATATTTTGCAGTTACACGAATTTTTATGACTGCGTTCACTGTTACGTGTAAACAAAATTCCGTAGTTGCTTTTATTTTAGAAAATAGTGCGCTGCTTCGAAGAATATGAGAGAATCATGGAACCGATTCTCTTGAATTCAATGGAAGGTGGTAGGGGGAAGGGGGATAATTTGGCGATTCGAATTGTAAAGCAACGACAATCAACTTCGTAAATTAGCTCGAGCGTTTTCTTGAACGTGTCTCCGCTCTAATCCAACCTTCTTTCCTTCCTTCTTTCCTGTTAAATAGTCGATACCGGAAAAGTTTGTCATCGCGCCGGCCGTGAGTCAAGAGATTCTTCTCGCTACTAACGGTTGGTAAATTTCCTTCAATTTTCCTTCTATTTCCCTTCCCACGACGCTTCTCGAAACAATCGCCTCGTCCGTGTTAATCTATATACGTAGTTATTGCCAAGAGATATATGAATTCGTTATATTAGTTGGTCGTTCATCTTCACGTTCCTCGTTAGCGAGCACGCCACTACTACGAAACAATGCCAACTCTGTTAAAACATTCCATTTAGCCATTTGATGTTTGTAAGCTACAATTTGTAGAGTAAATATTATTGTAACGGGCATATATATATATATATTTTTTTGTGTATTTATATGCATATATGTATGCGCAACTGTTTGTGAAAATTTATTATTTCAGAATTTATGGGTCTATAAAGCATTATGTAAAACCGGTGAGGTACAAACTAAAATAAATAAACTAGGCAATACAATCGAGCAAACTAATCGTTTCATTTACCTTTTTCATGAAAAAAAAAAAAAAAAAAAAAAAGATCAAGCCAACGAATGCTCATTTTGATTGTAATCACAATATGCTTCTTTTCAATATTGTTCGAATGAAAGAAATGGCAAAGTAACCCACCTTATTAATGATCTAAATTAATTGAAATGAGTTCGTTTTTATAATGATTATTGAAATCAGTTATTTATGTCGCATTGGAATACCAAATAATATTATTCGAAATATCCGCCCTTATTTATTATACGTCGTTTCTATCAAATACTAAATACTCGACGTCGAGTAAATTAACTCGTCGGGCAGCTACGTAAAATACGTTGAAGTTGCTAGGCTCGAGGGTAAAGCCATAAATTCGCTCCAAAAGAGGCCATAGTTTTATGTATAAATGTATGATTTTGTTGATAATTTTGTATAATTCCCATTCGATTTCGCTATGGTCGTGTCGCAAAAATTTTCTATATTACTAGTATTTTTATTTTATACTGTTGAGATTTGAAACATTTTGTTGTACGCATGAGTATTTTGTAATATAAAAATTTACAAAACATAATTAAAGAATGATACAAGTTAATAAAAAAAAATTAAAGGCTCGATAGAAGGTTTAACAAATTTTTGAAAAATACGAAATGTGTATATTAGAATAAAAATACTTTTGGTAAGCCGTTCAATTGTCAAATTATATTTTCGAAACAATACTTTTGCATTATTGACGTTTTAGTTAAACCCAAAATTTATACTTTGTAAATATTATTTTATAAAAATTTTGTGCATTGCACTGGAATTAAGTTTAATACTTAATATTTTTATACTTATTATATTATATTATATTATACTTATTATACATAATACTTAATATTTAATACTTAATTACTTAAATCTTAATCTAATTACTTAATACTTACACTATTAAGACTTTAAATTTATGCAAACGTACAGTCAGTTTTATCTTAATGATAATAATATCTGAAAACATTGATTACATTACAATTTGTATTTTGTATTTTGTTCCTACAATTTTGTTTTTACAATTTTTCAGGCAAACATGTGGGCCGACGGATTGTATGGATGCTTCTTTCCAACACTTTCAACAATATTAATATTCGTTGTATCTGTTAATGTAATAAGATTTTTAATTGGAGAATTTAATATTCACATCAGAGATAATAAGAAACATAATTGGCAAATCATTAAGCATACGTCTAGAGTAAATTAAACTTTATTTACATTTTACAATATTATGTACATTTTCAAATTATTCTAATTAATTGACAACTTTCATTTATTTCATAGGCTTACTTTTGTAGCATTTGTGAATCTCTTGTATTAGTTGTTAATGGATTTTATTGCGATTCTTGTGGTATTTGTGCAGATCATGGATGCATTAAAAAAGCTGATAAAAAGTTTAAATGCAAAGAAATTTCTTTACCATTAAGCAATCAACCAATGAAGCACCATTGGGTTAGAGGTAATTATGATTTTCGAAAATAGTTACGTGTCTCATTTTATCACTAGGTAATTAAAAATCTGTCAACCCGTCTAAAATTCATTCGATTTTAAACATATTTTTAAGTTGCGTTGCAATTCATTTACCTAAACATAATACGATTAATCGACTTTTTTAGCTACAAAATACATATTTTTATGTTGTAGGTAATTTACCTTTAGTTGCCATGTGCGAAGTATGCGATGAAGAATGCAGCCTTGAACCAGGTCTTTTAGATTGGTGGTGTTGCTGGTGCCAAAGATGCGCACATCAAACATGTCGTTCTTCTATTAGCGATGTATTCTTGAATACAATTCATAATTTTAACTTTTATAAACGACGTCAGTTTGCAAATAAGAATAATACTTTTCATTTATTTTAGATATGCGATTTTGGTATTTTTAGTCAATTGATTATTCCACCATCAAGTTTGGAAATTGTTACCAGACACCAAAAGATACGAAGGCGTTTACATTTTCGTTCAATAATACCACCACCAATGTGGCCAAAATGGAATCCACTTATAGTAGTCGGTATGTACATTATACTTGTGTTTCTTTTTATTTACAATCACTTTTATTTCTAAGCGGCAGGTGATTAGTACAATTCAATTAAAGTAACACGTATCATAACAAATAACACCAATTGGCGGTTATGTAAAAGTAAATATACAATAGTTTGTATTGTAAAATATTTATGTTCTAAGTAAGAAAATATGTTACCGACGCTTAGACATAGTAAATGTTAATTAAAACATCTTTAGAAAATTTATAATAATTAATAATTTTGATCGCTTTAGCGAACAAAAAGTCAGGAAATAACGAAGGATCTGAAATACTGTCTTCTTTTCGGAGATTGTTAAATCCTGCTCAAGTAATTGATTTGTCAGAACGTGATCCCGTAGCTGCATTAGAATGGTGTCGTTTATTAGGTGACGTTTCATACACAATTGTGGTAGCTGGAGGTGACGGTACAGTCGCCTGGCTTTTGGATACTATTCACAAATTACAATTGAACGTAATACGAGATAAATAATTAAAACAATTAATAAATTCAAGCGAAAATAAAAAGTGAATACTTTTCTAGCCAACTCCTGCTGTAGCAATTCTTCCATTAGGAACAGGAAATGATTTGTCTAGAGTGCTGGGTTGGGGAAAAGAATACGATTCGAATATAGATATATCATGTACATTACAAGATATTCAACTTGCAGAGAAAGTAAAGCTCGATAGGTAAGTAGTTACCTATATTACACATACTTCATCAAATTATTATTAATATTTATAAATGGTATGTTAACATATAGATGGTGTGTCACGATTAATACCAAAGCAGGATTCAGAACTCAGCAGAAATCTATGAATATGTATAATTATTTAAGCGTGGGTGTAGATGCGCAGGTCACATTAAATTTTCATCGTACAAGAGAAAGTCGTTTTTATCTTTTCAGTCATCGAATATTTAACAAAGTTCAATATTGTTTCAAGTAATTATTATTTCTAAAAATTCACGTCGGCAACTAATTTTTCAATAATTTTTTCAGCTTCTCTATTTATGTTTTGGAACGCAACAGGTTGTGGAGAGAGAGTGCAAAGATCTGGACCAAAGAATCGAAGTATATTTAGATGGTGAAAAAGTAGAATTGCCGTCGATTGAAAGTATCGTAGTCTTAAACATTCCATCTTGGGGAGCTGGCGTAGATTTATGGAATATGAACCTCCAAGGTAATTTAGACGCGTCGTAAAGATGCGAGCATTACAAAATTGTTAATAAATCAGTATTTGTAACGACTAAATATCGGCAGTTCTTTCAATTTCATTACGTCTGCGTGGACAAGTTAAAATATAATTTGTGTTATGCCCGGACAATAGGTATTGTTTAATTTTTAGGTTAATTTTACATTTTAGATAATCCAACAAATCAGCAAAGTATATGCGATGAAAAACTCGAAGTCGTAGCTTTATATTCTTCATTGCATATTGCCCAATTGCAAGTTGGCCTTTCTCAACCAATTCGTCTAGGGCAAGCGAAAACCGTTCAAGTGAGTTCAAGAGATAAATTTCAATAAGATTGTAAATGCTACTTATATTAAACGCTTCATTGTCATTCTGCATCATTTATTTATGGCCTTACAGATAGTATTGAAAACTTCGTGTGCAATGCAAGTAGACGGAGAGCCATGGTACCAATCTCCATGTTCGTTTAATGTAACCCATGTAAATCAAGCATTAATGTTACAGAGCAGCAGCCGTAAATCAAATTTTAATTCAAGCTCCACGTCTTTATAAGTTTAGTTCGTAATCGAAATTCGAAAACTATTTTAAATTTGCAAATCGAGGAGGTATTATTTGTGATAAAATAATTATAAAATTATGCTTGTGCAGAAATTAGTAAAGAATTCTTTTAAAATTTTTCTTTTTAAATTCGATTAATATCATATTCTGATAATAATTATAAAGGTGTATAATAATATATGGAAATTAATTATTGACAGAATCTATAACATTTTTAAAATACCGATAATTGAAGGAGAGTAATTATATAAATGCATGATTAAATAATTATTCATGATATACGAGAAATATATGTAGTATTAATATCGTGTTCCTAAGATAAAACGTTATTTTTTAACATTTAATAATGACAGACAGAGTCGCCAAATTTTTAAACAAATAAACTATCTTATTGTCATTGTTTTATACATTTAATATTTATATTAGAGTTATTTTAAAGCAGTACAAACACTTATTTTATTATTAATTTTCATACTCTAGTAAAAGTTAATTGTATTATTATGAGTTATATTTTAATTTTTTTAAATATATAAAAATTGTGCAATACTATTGATAGTCTGTGAGCATTTATTACATATGCAAAATTCTATACATTTACGAATGAAATGAAATATCACTGCTGTGTTTTATGTATACCAAACAAAAATATCAAATGGTTAAACTCAACGAAAATATTATTGTTGTTGAAAAAATATAAAGTATAAAAGAAAAATGCAACAAAGATTTTACGCTTTCGTCCTTCCTTATCCTTGCGCATAACGAAAATGAAGTATTTTATGACTAAATGATGCTTTATAGGGAAAAAATTCTCTTCGATATATTATATTATAAAAGTATCGTCGTAAAAAATTTGCGAATATACAAAGGAATTAATATTTGTATTAATTACGCGACAATGTGCTTAATTTTATATTTTAATATTATCATAATCTTGCTTTAAAATTTATGAATAAAACAATATTGTTATTAAAGTACCAATTAGTGTTATAATACTTTTATAACAAAATCAAAAATTTAATCGCCTGTTAATAACATAAAAAATTTATCTTTAAGTTGACTTTTACAAATTAATTGGACAATATTAATGCAGACGGAAGGCCCAGTATTTGCTAACTCGTTCGTAACTCTTTTGTTTTGCCTTGATAGACAAAGTTGTTATATCCTTCTGGATAGTGGAAAGGCACGTTGGTCAAGTAAATTGAACATAGATATTATTAATTGCAATTAATTTGATGGGGCTTGTGCATTGATTATATATAATGTCAATGACACGATAAAAACTGTAGAAGCCCCGCGGAATAGGCAGACTGAAATTGTACTTCAAGTTGGCAAGTCGCAGCGATTTGTCGTAGTCGAAGACCAGGCGAATCTTCGTCTCCTGTAAATCAATCCTCGACTTTCTTTATCTACGGCGTCATAGAGGCATGTAAATTCAGTTGGCCGACGAGAGCTGTTGACTTGTGAAAAACGTCTCCCCATTAACGACAAGTAGTTTTCTCATTTATTTTCCCCTGTACCCTACCCACCCTTCCACAGGTGAATCCCTTTATTATTATTATTATTAGTACTGTTGTTGTTTTGTGTTTTGTATATTATGTAGTCATTTATATTATGAAAAGGTATAAAATCCAATTTCGTGAGTGAGCGTTCGAAAGTTCGTCGTTAAATATCATAAGTTTTGCTTTATTCTTTCCTGCTCTCGAGCCTCAATCTTGATAATTACTTGGAATGAATTTTGTCATTTTCGGATTATACTCGTAAAATGGTCGACCATCCCTGCGAGTAAATAATCGATTATCATTTTCACCGGACCAATATACCACGAAACTCTGTGCCCTTAATCGTTTGAATTCGCGTTTGAGGGCGCAAGCGCGCAACTGTCCTTTTTCTTCTTGTGGAAGTCGACGGTCAAAGGGAAGTTTCACGTTGTGAAAGAATCCGATAGGCGGCAGTTTGTGCTGCTGTTATGGCGAAACTAACCTGTCCTCGTTTACTTCGAACTCGGATCGCAAGTTTCCCTTTGTTTTCACCGCCGGTAAAGACTTTGTACGAGCTTCGACATAGTCTAGTAAATAAGTTTCTCGTCCAAGATGCAAATTAGTAAGAGTCATGAGTTTATTGAAATGGGCATTTGTAAATAGAACATACAAGGTATACCGTGGACAATGATTTTACCAATTAAATCACCAACAATGTTTTAAAATAACTTTCATAGTGAAGTATTGTAATGTATATTTATTCGTCTAGGTAAAACGAATTCCAATATGTCGTCAGATGTTTTAGATTTATTAAGAGAACCTCGGATGACTAAAATATGCGCTCCTATGGTTAGGTACAGTAAGTAAGTAAGACTAGTAATACATTGTTAATTATAAAAATTTATAAATGACGTTCTACACAAGCCCACTGATTTTTTAGAATACAGTTTCGAACTTTAGTAAGAAAGTATAATTGTGACCTGTGTTTTACACCGATGATTTTAGCTGACTCGTTTGTTAAATCATCGGCAGCCAGAGCTAGTGAATTCACAACAAATAAAAATGACAAGCCGCTTATTGTACAATTTGCTGCTAAGGAAATTGATTATTTTGTTGGTGCTGCCGAATTGATTGCACCGTAGGCATATTTTCACGACGCATAGATATTTAAAACTCCATAAATTTTTGTTTATATAATATATGTATATTTGTTTTTCCTCTCGACAGGTATTCGAATGGCGTCGATTTAAATTGTGGTTGCCCCCAACGCTGGGCATTGAAAGATGGGTATGGCGCTGATTTATTAACCAAACCAGAACTCGTTAAAGATTTAGTTTATCAAGTTAGAAATCGAATATCAAAACCATTTTCCGTCTCTATAAAAATACGTATACTCAAAGACATTAAACGGACGATCGAATTGTGTCAGGCTGTGGAGCATGCCGGTTTATCCTTTTTAACCGTGCACGCTAGAACGCCACAAATGCGAAATGAGCCAATTCAGTTGGAGAGTTTGAAGTTAGTAAAAAGTTGTGTACAACTACCCGTAATTGCCAATGGAAATGTTAAATGTTTGGAGGATGCAATGAATTTATATACGGAATCCAATTGTAATGGAATAATGGTCGCCGGTGGTATTTTGAACAATCCTGCTTTATTTTCTGGATATAGAAGTACACCTGTGGAGTGCATTAGAGACTGGATTAATATTACATCCAGCGTGCCGACTACATTTTTATGTTTTCATAATCATCTTGTTTTTATGCTTGAAAAGGTATTGAACAAGAAAGAAAAACAAGTGTTTAATTATCTGAATAATGTCAACGACGTCTATGACTTTCTTAATAAACGTTTTGACATAACACCAAAAATGTTATATAGGGAATACGAATTAACCAATTGTGAATATCAAGTTTTGCCACAAATAAGGCATCCAAAGAACATAAACTTTGACGAAGACGAAGACTGTAGTTTAAGCTTAGAAAATCTTTTTATCTAATAATACTACGTTATTTACTCAATAAAGCTTAATATGCTTGTTAGCACCACCTAACGCCGTGTAACGGTATTGGAAATAAGAAGACAATATTTTTCTTCTTACAAATATTTTCTTACAAAATACGTAAGTAAATTCTGTTTTAAGAATTGAAATAAATATACACAACTTTTTAATAATTAAATGGATTTATTTTGAATTAAGTGCAATCATACCAATGTGATGTTTAAAAGCCTTCCTGCTCTTATTATCCTTTTATTCTCATTTACACAAACTCGTTAGCTATTTAAAGATACAATAAATGTCATCGACATCGTAGTCGTTCGTTAGCGACGAATTTCCACGGAAAAAAAGGATTTCGCTGGCAGTACAGTTTAAAAATTCAACTTACGAACAATATAATCGCTAAGGGAACGTACCATTACTTAATAGTATTTGGTAAATGCGACTTAACGTACGCCATTATTAATCCTTCCCGCATTTTCATATGGGGAGACGAAGGCAAATCGGCGCATTAAGGGGCTCTGGAATTATATCTCACTGTGTCGACAAGAATAACGGAATAATTGTATTTGGCGCATCGACTAAACGACTTCGTTTCACGTAGGAAACATCTCTGGTGAAAATATATTTATGGAAATTTTAATCTATCATTAGGTTACTTATCGATCATTTTTTCACAAGTTTATCGATCTTCAAGCTTGGTATTCAAATTACAATTTAAATTATTAATTGTACTTTATTTAATTTTTTTTTTTTCTTTTTTTTGTCATATTTTATCATTTTTTGTTGTTTTTTTTTGTTGTCGTTGCGATTTTTCGTTCCTTTTGTTTTGTTCTTGTTAACATTTAAGAAAAAGCATTAACTAATTGCTATTATATATGGAAATACGGAATATGATTTTTTTTTCTTTCTTTAGGTATTATTTAAAAAGTTAGTTCATAAAATTTTACATAAAAATATTGACACCAAAGTAAACACCGTTTCATTATTTCTTTTTTATACAACGTTCTGTACAAGGATTTTGACAGATGCGAAGATTTAAGAAAAATACTGACATCTTTTTATTTTTATTTTACAAAAGTTACAGTATCCATACGTCGAGCGAATATGCCAACAAGGTACACCACCTTCCATTACTCTCGCGGGCAAATACAAAAAAAAAAAAAAAAGGACAATAAATAATATACGGTTTTCTCCATTGTATTTTACGGAATATGGAATTATTACATTATCCATCATACGTACGTACATGTCTCCCTCCTCTCTGTTTCGTCCAGCGATAAGCTTTTCACTATGCGAATTATTCTAGCGAGGAATCATCATTGAGTTACACAATAAACATTTGAAACGTTTTTTTTTTTTTTTTTTTACTAGCTCCACCTCTTTGGCTTGTGGACTTGTGACTGACCGTATATAATATAATGTATATCTGCCTGTCTGTCTGCTGTTGCTCTCTCTCTCTCTCTCTCTCTCTCTCTCTCTCTCTCTCTGTGTATGTGTGTGTGTGTGTGTGCGTGTGTGTGCGCGCGTGCGTACGTGTGTTCACGTGTGCGTGGGTGATTATTGTTTTAGATTAAATTAATTATACTTTAGTACTGTCACATTATGCATTTTAGAATCTCTACGATCTGAAGTATTTTAATGTTTCACATAAAAGGATTATTTCATAAAACTCTGGCGATTCAATTAAAAGAACAGAACACAACAATAAATTTCACACTTTCATTACCATTTACGAGATGATTGTATTAAAATAATTTGACAGCATTTTATTTGGAGAGATTCTAATATGTACGAGCGGCTTACCGATCATTCAATTTCTACATTCTCATGCATACTTCGTGACAATTTATTTATGAAATTATCGTTTCATTGAAAATTGAGAGCAAACAATCAGTTTAGTTATTGCCGACAATATTTATTACGAATACAATTGGAATCGATTGATTTAATTGATAAAATTTCACATCAAGATGCTCTTAATGGAAAATGAATAATGGACCCTTCGATGGGCGCACAAGTTGTTGTGTCGACGATGTTTCACTTCAATTTCGATGTACAATGTAGTTAGTTGGCTTTTCTATTCAATAACGCACAAAATCGTGGATGAGCTTTCAATCTACGCGAGCTTAATTATACGTTACTTAAAAAGGAAACAATCAAACTAAGTAGAAAATATAAATTGCATTGGATGACTTTCACGAATAAATAATAATTGAAAATAAACTATCTAACGCTGGTTTTATTACAGATATACAGGCGTGGTTTACGTATATTTTTAAATCTGCCTTTCAATTGACACAAATTTTATAATTTTTGTACACTGATATAAATAATAAACGTAATACATACAATTCAGCCTTAGAATAGACGTATCGACGATCGTTTAGAGCTGCGATTTTACAGATTAACCAGGTAAAAGGAGCTCTACAGTTCGCGAAACTTACAATTCTTTTAAATTCTAATACGGGCATATGGGAATATACGCTGAAGCAGTTTACACGAGAATAAAACAAAAATGAAAATAAAATTGATAAATATTGCGTAAACATAAAGTATTTATTGGAATTATAATCAGAATTGAATTTGCACACAAGACTGTTGTTTCCAGCATCATCGTGCGCACCGTAACATTTCAATAACAGCAATATCCACAATCGTGTTTATTTAATTTTTATCAAAAATACTAATAGCAAAATGAGCAGTTATATTCAAGTCTTTCGTATGAATTCGCTTGCTTGCTTGCATGATTGAAAAATGAAGAGAAAAAAAAGAAAAAAAAAAGAAAAAAGATTAGCAATGTTATATAGAATGTGAAGAAAGATTCATCTTAGAAACTATTAATCAATGCTTTACTATTATATGAGAAAGTCCAAATTAATAGTTCTGTCACTCCAGTGTAAATTGCTGCAAGTGTATATGCGCACTCGCCAAAATGCACTACAATAATCATCATAATGTGCCATTGTGCATTTTCACACCCGCGCATGCACACGCGAGCGAGCACACAATACTGCCATGCGCAACGTACACGCAAAACAAACACATACACCTTGTTTAAGCAACTTGTTTATATTCGCAGCGCAAATTAATTATTAACATGTAATTACACCCTGGCGCATACGTATTATTATTTCTCCCTTCTTCCCATAACTGTTTTATCTCTCTTCTGCGCTCTGCTTTACTTCCACGCTAGTTTTCTCATTTCCGCGCATTTTGAGGGGGCAAAGTGAGAGGGCAAAGATATTCGCGTTCGCGATATATCTTCGAGTCGCTCACCGTAATCCCAGCCCTTGGGTACTAATTGACTAGCATCGTTCATCACTCTCTTTCGCCTACATTCTTTCATACCTCCTCCTCTCATTCTCGCTCTCCATCTCTCCTCCGACTCACCTCAACTCTACTCTCCCTTTTTCATTTTTCACAGTACACGTGATCCGTCCTTTTGACATAGCTATGTTTGTTTTTCAAATCCGTGTTCCGTACTCGTGAGTTCGTTCGTACGTAAGAGCCGTCCCTCCTTATTTAAAAAAAAAAAAAAACTCGAGTAAGATTTTTTTATAACTTATTTGTTTGTCAGATAATTATTTGGATGAATTTAAAAAACTTTATGAAGATAATTGTATCAAAAACTTTTTCTAAATCTTTCCTTATGTGACGCATAAGTTTGCTTTTTAAATTTACTTAATTATAAATTTTGATTGGCTTTTTTTCTCTTTTCTCTTTTCTTTTTTCTTTTTTCTTTTTTCTTTTTTAAATTTTACCCATAGTAATTTAAATATTAATAGCACGAAGAAAAGAATGTAGGATATATAATTTTTCTAATCATTTTTTAGTCAAAACTTATTTCTTGTCGAATACAGCTATTCGATTAAAAATATTTATCGGCGAAAATAATTCTAAAAATAACTAATTTTTGTATATATTATTGTAGCTTTGAAACTAAAATTCATAACAAACTGAAAAGAAATTATTTGTAATTCACTCGCTTTAATAATGCAAAAATTATAATTAACGTTTTAAATAAATTTCAATTAATAACTTGCAATTTCATTCTCATAAATATGCCAATTAAAAGTCTTTTAAACATTTAAATAAATTTCCAAGCATAATTTAAGACGCATTTTTCTTTTAGCTCTCATGGATACTGTGATTAAGCTGCGCAAGTTCATTTTCTAATTCATTACTATTATTGAGAGCGAAAGAGATAGAGAGAAAGTGAGAGTGTGCGGCAGGGCGGGGGAAGAG